GTTGGAGAATACATACTCAGTGGGTGGAGCCCAGCAATCCATGTTTTGACAAGCCCTTCAGGGGATTCAAATGCATGCTGAAGTTTGAGAGCCACCACAATAATGTGATGTCTTGAATTTGTTTCAAAATAATCTGGGGAAGGGATGATGGGTATATAGGGATTCATTATGACCATACTGTCTCCTTTTTTTTTTTTTTTTTTAAAGAGATGGGGTCCCCCTCTGCTGCCCAGGCTGGATTCAAACTCCTGGGCTCAAGCAATCCTCCTGCTCCACCTCCTGAGTATGTATTCTCCACTTTTATATGGGTTGGAAAGTTTTCCACAATAAAAAATTTTCAAAACTCCAAACAGTTTTCTCTGCAGTGCCGCCTAATGGCTCTCTCCTCACTGCTCTTGTCTCTCTTTTTTGCCCGCTCCCCTCCATCTGGAACATTTCCTCCTGGCTTCAGAAATGGCTGCTGTCCTTATTTTGTTTATGTTTATTATTATATTTTGAGATGGAGTCTCGCTCTGTCACCCAGGCTGGAGTGCAGTGGCGCGATCTCGGCTCACTGCAACCTCTTCCTTCCAGATTCAAGTGATTCTCCTGCCTCAGCCTCCCAAGTAGCTGGGACTACAGGTGTATACCACCACACCTGGCTGATTTTTGTATTTTTAGTAGAGACGGGGTTTCACCACGTTGGCCAGGCTGGTCTCAAACTCCTGACCTCAAGTGATTTGCCCACCTCGGCCTCCCAAAGTGCTGGTATAAGCCACCGCACCTAGCCCTTATTCTGTTTATTTGCCTCAAGTTTCTCAAATCTTAGGAGCTCCTTCTCTTCTTGCTCTCTCTCCTTGTCCTCTCTGTAAAAGTCTTTAAATGGCCCTTCTCATATCATTCAGTCACAGTTTCTCGCGTCTCAGCGTTCTTCTTCCTGGCTTCTAGATTCTGTGCACTCTGTGGTTTGCAGAACTTGTTATCCAAGACCTTGTCTTTGCACATGCGCTGAGTGATCTCTCTGCTGCTTTTATTGGCACTATCGACAGTTTCTTTTCTTTCTCTTAGAAAACAAAACATTTACCTCCTTCAATTAAAAAAAAATTTTATGTGATTGTTTTAGTTTGCAACATATCTGCCATTTAAAAAACTCCAAACAATAAAGAAGTGGAACAAGTAAAAATGTCACCTTGTTCCCC